CAGCATATGGCAGTTTGCGGCCTTTCCCTAAATCTAGAAAGTTCGGAAAGCCGCAAAATTCTGGAACAAAAATTTATCTTTCAAATCGGCACCCTTAATCTCCACGGCATCAACGAGCGCTTTTCATTGACTAATTTATTCTCTAATAAAGGAGGTAAGTTTCTAAAGAAACTCTACTGCTGCGTCGGTGGAGGAGTGTAGCATGTAATTTAGTGTTAACAACTGAGTTGAAAACGTAAATTGGTCACCGTAAAGAGCTAAAAGGCTGACGTTTCGAGCGTCAGCCCTTCGTCAGAGCGATTGGAATTTATTCTCGTTTTCTCGTCACCATACTCCCACCAATGGCGTAGCTCTATTTTCTGCATATAAACACACACAACCTACAATTCCTCCAATCGCTCTGACGAAGCGCTAACACTCGAAACGTCAGCCTTTAAACTCTTTACGGTGGCCAATTTACGTTAATAAATTAGCCTGTTCTTAAGAAACAGATCAGGCTAAAAGTAGGAGCTTTGTTTTGTTCTGTGGTGTGTGATTCCCTGCATTAAAAGGGGCTTTTACTAGGCAGCTCCATTTCCTAAATTCCAAGTTATAAATTTGCGCCAAACGCGGAAGTAACATTTTTTATTTCCGCTCAATAAGATACCCCTTTCTGCTCTTTCATCATAAAAATTGTGTTTCGTTATCTCTTAATTTATTAACACACCTGTCTGATGACAAGTCTAACATTGACGAAATGTCACATTAAGAAAAAAAAAAGTAAAATTAATAAAGGCTGCCCAAATATACATAGAAACCACTAGAATAACAAACATTACCCCATCAGTTTCAACATTTTTTTCAATATGCGCGTATCATTTTCGTTATCTCTGTTTTAATTAGAAAATGTCAATCTTCCTCTCCATTCATCATTTCTACAAATAATTTACAATGTCATTAAATTCTATATAAACTTTTCGTTACATAAATTATACATTCAATTACAAATATCGTCAATAAGGGAACATGTAGCCCCTCCCTTCCCCTGAAGTATGCAAGTATATTTGTCTAAGAATGATCGTCTGTGGCAAAAAGCGTTCGTATCTTGATCTGCTGTATCCTCTAATTCCAGAACGTATCCCAGCAATTGCAGGTACAGTTAGAAGCGAATGTAAGAGGGATTTGTGTAAAATGGATGCCGTCCAATCAGTTCCCAGCATCCCGAGCAACAGCAAAGAAGTCCCTTATTCAGAACCGGACTATTTCTCAACTAAGAACCATAATAAAGCACCTATGGGAGGCTTCCGTGAATCATGCACCAAAGTAAAATGAGGACAACATGGCGGTATCTTAAACGTGTTCACTTTCAAGCACGGTCCATTATTTTGAAATCACCACTAAAGTATTTGAACAAGGCTTTGATGAGAGGTACACGTCTACAATGGCCCCTTAGTCAAGGTCACTTCCAAGCCCTGTCCATTTATCAGGGACCATAAGAAAGTATCTGTGCATGGCCTCAGTGAATCGTGTCCTGTACAACTCCGGGGACACTACTGTAGGCATTCTTCCTTGGCCTCCAAGAATGCCGCTGGCTTTTACGTACATCTCCAACTTCTTATCCCAAGTGAATGTTCGAATAAAATCTAAAGAACAAAAGAGTGCATGAAAAAGATCTCCATTTTCACGCACAACTTGTCGTGCATGTTACGTGAGCATTATGTAAAGAAAAGCTGAGTCGAACGGAATTCCATCAATTGTATCGAATTGACTGAGAAGCCGAACTTCGCGTAGACCTGATTTACAGAATTAGATAAGGCTTAAGTGGAGTACGGCGTCTGCACCGGGCCTAAGCAGAGCTGTTAATAAGAGTCTGCAGTCGACCAATACTGCCGG